TTCGATTTTGTTTTATATTTTAACTTTGTTGGAGGTTTTGTGGCTGATATTATTGCATGTATGAGCGATTTTTTTTATTTAAAATGATATCAGAGGAAATTGTGCTTCTTCGAAAAAAATACATATAGTGACTGTTAGATGTAGAGCCATGGTTGTGTATCACAATCAACCACTTCTAATTGGCAGGGGAGTTGTTGCCATATATATATGCCCACTGTATGTATAATTCCACGGAGGAAATTAGGGCTTCGTATTATGCAAGTGACGGAAAATATTATATATACATATTTTTGAACACTTCTATTTTGCAGTTAATGTGGTATACATTGTTTCATGAAATAAGAAGCGGCCAGATGCACTGAATGATGTCTTCGACTTTTGTCCTTTTTATTTAGATTTGTGACGTGAAGTAAGTAAAATGGAGATTAATTGCCAGCCCGGTAACGACCAAAGATTTATATGAATTCTGAATATGCTATAGACACTTCACCTGAATGTCACCATACCGGAAATACGAGCAGATTGCTAGATCAGATTGTGGGTGCACGCTTGTACGCATAAACGTAATATGTGCACGTGTGTTATTTCAAAGGTCTGAATATAATTGTGCTTTAAGGCTGGACTTGCGTTGACAACGACAGCAATCACACGCATATACATACGCGCGCGCACACTGTTTGTCTACAAATAATCTTACATAAACTGTTATTAGATGAGTGATGTAGAATGATGGGGGACTGTATGTGTTCACGTATTGCATATATAAGCAGATAATCGGACGGAGTAATGTATGAACTCTTACAGATATTCTTACCGCTACAGTGATTATTACAATTATAGTAATTACATTAGTTATCGTCATGATTATTGTTAAAAGTCATTGCTATTCTGACCGGTTTCTCTATTATTGTCATTACTGCTGTGACTGCTACTATTTCCATCGTTACTACCATTATCATCATCATTCTTACGTAACTGGAAACTGTCCATCATCATCATATTTCTTGTGCAGCAACCGTTTAACCTGTTCTTTTGGACCATTTTCCTACGTAATCTTCATGAAGTTTAGCACTTCCTGCTCCTGGTTCCTTCACCTGTTCCCTGAGCTGTTCATTATCGTCTCTCTCTGTTTCATTTGTTTCCTTTTTTCGGGTTGGAAAGTTTAGATCCCTGTGATGGATTTATCTATCGGTTTCTCCTTATTCGTATATTTATTTTTATTTATAAAAGACATGTAATATTAATGATCTTATGCATCCACGCACCCGTGCACGCGCGTACACGCCCACGTCCACGTTCACGCACACGTACACGTACACATTGTGTGTGTGTGTTTGTGTGCATGTATGTGTGTATGTGTATGATTATATATGTATGTATGCGTGTGTGTTCTCTACTTCCCACTTTTCCTCCTCTTCTTCTCTCTCCTCTCTCTCTCTCTCTCTCTCTCTCTCTCTCTCTCTCTCTCTCTCTCTCTCTCTCTCTCTCTCTCTTCTCCATCTCTTTTCTTCCCTCTCTCTTTCTCCGCTCTTGTGAGTCTGCGTCATGGGCGGTGAAGCGTGTGATTACCCACTTATACCAATATAAAAATTGTGAGAATTTTTCCAGCGTCGGGTGTGGTTTTGGCAAGTAACTCCCCTCCCCCTCTCTCTCCCCCCCCTCCCTATTTAAAGCGCCTCCCCCTGCCAATCGAACACCTCCGATTCTCCTCTGCCCTTACCCTTGCCTATTCCGCCCCTCCCCCTGCCCTGTCCCATTCTGCCCGTTCCCCCCTACCCCTACCCACCTATTCTGCCACCCCTTCCCCTACCCTACCCCTATTTTGCCACCCTCCCCCATTCTGCCATCCCCTCCTGTTCTACTTTCCCCTATTCCCCCACCCCTCCCCCTATCTTAGCCAATCACAGCTAATTTAGCCCGGGGTCAAACCAGGTAATCAGCGCTGCCTGGTAACGCGGGTACTAGAGCAGGTAAACATTGGATATCCGGACCGAGGGCGCTGCCGTAGGGTATTCGGATAAGCGGTGATTCTGAATGGCATCGAAATGCATTGGTGTAATACCCTCCTACCCTCCCTCCCCCCTCTCTCTCCGTTCCCCCCCCCCCCAACCACCTCTCCTGCCTCCCTTACCTTCCCCGCTTCTCTCTTATCTCCATTTCCCGTTTCCCTCTTCGACTTTCCTCTCCTTCCCTGCTCTTCTACCTTCCTCGCTTTCTCTTCCCTCCTCCTCTACCTTCCTCGCCTTCTCTTCCCTCCTCTCCTATCTTCCCCTCTTCCCTCCTCCTCCTCTTCCCTTCCCTTCCCCCTCCTGCCTCCCTCCTCTTCCTTCCCTTCTCCTCTCCTGCCTCCCTCCCTCTTCCCTTCCCTTCCCTTCCCTTCCCTTCTCCTGCCTCCTCCTCTTCCCTCCCCTTCCCCTCTCCTGCCTTCCTTCCCTTTTCCTCTCCCTCCTCTTCCCTTCCCTTTCCTCTTCCCCTCTCCTGCCTCCCTCCTCTTCCCTTC